ATGTGGTATACTGCATCCGCTGTACCCAGTGTGGCTTCCTCTACATCGGGGAAACCAAGCGGAGACTCGGGGACTGCTTTGCAGAACACCTACGCTCGATTCGCAATAAACAACTGCACCTCCCAGTCGCGAACCATTTCAACTCCCCCTCCCATTCCTCAGACGACATGTCCATCCTGGGCCTCCTGCAGTGCCACAACGATGCCACCCGAAGGTTGCAGGAACAGCAACTCATATTCCGCTTGGGAGCCCTGCAGCCCAATGGTATCAATGTGGATTTCACAAGTTTCAAAATCTCCCCTCCCCCCACCGCATCCCAAAACCAGTCCAACTCGTCCCCGCCTCCCTAACCTGTTCTTCCTCCCACCTATCCCCTCCTCCCACCTCAAGCCGCACCTCCATCTCCTACCGACCAACCTCATCCCGCCCCCTTGACCTGTCCGTCCTCCCTGGACTGACCTATCCCCTTCCTAACTCCCTATCTACACTCACCTTTACTGGCTCCATCCCCGCCTCTTCGACCTGTTTGTTTCCTCTCCACCTATCTTCTCCTCTATCCCTCTTCTATCCGCCTCCCCCTCTCTCCCTATTTATTTCAAAACCCCCTTCCCCTCCCCCTTTTCTGATGAAGGGTCTAGGCCCGAGACGTCAGCCTCTCTGCTCCTATGATGCTGCTTGGCCTGCTGTGTTCATCCAGCCCTGCACCTTGTTGTCTCGGATTCTCCAGCATCTGCAGTTCCTACTATCTAAGATGGTGTTAACTCTTTAATCGGTTTGAAGGTTTTAATTGATTAGTATGTATATGTAAATCCCTGAATTCCTTTCAAGTCACCACCCTCATACTATCTCTCTCACTAACACGTGAGACTCCGAAAGCTTGTGATTTCAAATAAACCTGTTTGACCATAACCTGGTGACGTGTGATTTCTGACCTTGTCTACCCCAGTCCTACACTGGCACTGGCAGTAATGCCATGATCACAATGCAACTGACCAAAGACTGACACAGATAACATTTGTTTTGAATTCCAATCCCTAGACATCTTCCAAATGATCATTGCCTGAGTTGTATTGGTCTCTGACCCCCTCCTGTATTGGAACAATAGTGTCATGTTGCAATTCTCCAACCAGTATCACACCGCCCCCTTAACGACTGGCCCCGCCCTGTGGCAGCAACGGACACACCCCCCTCCAGTGATTGGCCCCTGCGACAGGCTCCGCACATCACGGGTAGGTCCCGCCCCCAAACCGGGGCTTTTGACGGGGTCATGTCCTCCCATTGGACAGCGCTGGCAGGAAGTCCCACCGCCTCCATGCACTTATTAGCATAACCCCCAATCCGCCGTTGTTATCGCTGATTGGTCGAAACCCTGCCTATCAGCGACGGGATGGCGTTTAGTCTGACGCCGACATTTCTATATGTATGATTGGTCAATACCCCTGTCAGTCAACCATTGGAGCTCCCTCATCGGTGAATTCACCTGCCTGTCAGTCACCGACGCGTCGCGATTGGTCTATGTTGGGAGGGCGGGACTAGTTTCAGGGCGGTTGGAGCGGGAGCGGGAGCCGGAGCCGGGCCTTCGCTGTACTTGCCCGGTTGGGGATGTGGGCGAGGCCGAGGCCTAGCCTCCAGGTGTTTGTGTCAGGCCCAAGCCACAGCTGGCTGCTCCTCGCCATGTCGTGGCCCAGCTCTGGAGCCCCGCTGTCGGGATGAGCGGCTGAGGCTCGGCCCCATGGCCCAGGAGAAGATGGAGCTGGAGCTCCCGCTCCCTGGCCCCGGCCCCGGCCCCGGGCCCTCGGCTTCCAGCGACGGCGGCCTCAGGAGATCCAATAGCGCGCCCATGATCAACGGCCTGAGGTAGGCCCAGGGCCCGGGCCCTGCTGCTGTCGTTATGGAAACAGGGCAGCTCTGGCGCACAGCAAGATCCCACTCGCAGCCAGTGCACAAGGCCCCTATTGGGAAGAGGAGGGAGTTTCAGGGTGGACTCCTCAGCAACATCATTCCCAATGAGGATCACACTCCTGCCTGTTGGATTTTGCTGCGTTCAAATTGGCTGCTCTGTTTCTCCCATTACAACAATGTCTAACTTCAAAAATACTCCACTGGCTGTGAAGTACTTTCAAACATCCCGAGTTTGAGAAGGATGTTAGAGAAATGTCGTTAACATTCTGGAGGTGTTGGTGAACGCTTGTTTTGTCTCCGATCTCCCCATGGCCTACAGGATGGTCGGTAGTAAACCTGAGAGACTGGACTCTTTGTCCACCTGGCTATTTCGCTGGTGGGGAGAACCAGGACAAGACTCCTATTCTTACAATCAGAGACAGGCTGTTCAGAGCTGATATCAGGAAGCTCTTCTTCACATAGAGGGTAGTGAAAACCTGGAACTCTCCCACAAATACAGCAAGTCAATTCAGATTGATAGATTGTTGTTGAAGGTATGAAGGTACTTCACAGAAATCTAGTTGGACACAATATGACATTGCACTGAGGGTGATATTGGGACAGGTGACAAGGAATCTTTAGAGCAGTGTGATGTGGGAGCACAAGTAGGCCATACACAGTCTCCTCCACCATTCAGTGAGATCATAGCTGATCTGAAAATCCTCAGATCCACTTTTCTGCCTTTTCCTGTAACTATTGATCACTTTACTGATTATGAATCTTTCTAAGAGGAGCTTAAGGGAGGAAGGATTAGTGGAAAGATTTATGAAACTTGTGGAACCGAGATTTTGTGAAGCACAAGAGACCAGAAGTGGACAGACACAAGGATTTTAAAGGTTTATGAGTAAGAGAGTTATAGACAGAAGATAGACAAAGGCATGGAATTCCTGAGAAGTTTCTACGACTATTACAAGACATGTAAAAGTCAAGAATGAGAAGCATCGCAGGGAAAGTGACAGTTTTGAATTTAAAGTTAGAATCCAGTGTGGATTGACTGAGCCCCATCCTTGTACTGATTGTTATGGATGTTCTGAATGAATGATTGAGACAGGAGGTGCTATGGTCAATGATGTTTACTGTTGAAATTGAGCAGTTTAACACAGATGAGAGAACATGAGTGTCTGAGGAACTAGAGAAAAGCATGGGAAGACCGGCTTATGAGGATCAGGAGACCAAAGATCTAATTCATTGACTTTCAGTTTTGTTTTTATTTATTCTTGGAATGTGGGGGTCACTGGCTATAGTAGCATTTATTGCCAAACCCAGCTGCCCTTGAGAAGGTTGTGGTGAACTGCCATCTTGAATCACTGCAGTCTTTGGGGTGTTTGAGCTTCAGGAAGAGGATCAGAGTGAAGGTTAAAAAATACGATCGAAGACTAGGAAAAAAATTGAACAGTTCAAACATCTGGTTTCAGTGATGGCAAAGGGTGGAATTATTGAAATAAAGCTGAAACAATGGATTAGCTATGGTTGGAGTATTTGGAAGAAGTGCAGTGGACTGTTGTGAGATAGCCAAAAAGTATCACTGAGATGGCATAGCGGAATCTACAAGACAGTTGTGGGTCTGGCCTTGTTAAATGGTGTGGCAAGTTGGGCAATGCTGAGATTGGATGCAGATACTGAGATGATTTTGTGAAATAATGAGAAATGCTGAATTCAGGAAATGGGATGTCAGGGCTCAGTAAAGAATGTAGGAACATCAAAGGAAGTGGTCAAGAAGAGATCAAAATGTTGTGGGACAGCGGGAGGAAATGTGTTGAAGTGAGTGATAGGATGGGCTGCTATGAAGATGACGAGTAAGACCAGACCGAATGATCTGGGTACCACTCCTTAGGAACGATCTATTGGTCTTGGACGGAGCACAACATAGGTTTACAAGAATGATACTTGAACTTCAGGGCTTAAGTTATGAAGAAATATTATACAAATTAGGTGTGTTTTCTCAGAATTTAGAAGTTTATGGGATAATCTCTTCAATATATTAACAGGAAAAGACAGGGTAATTGAGGATAAACTATTTTTACTCATTGGGGATTCTAGAACAATTGGGCATTGTCTGAGAGTTAAAGCAAGATTGTTCAGGAGAGATGTTAGGATGCACTTCAACACACAAAGGATGCTAGAGATTTGGAATTCTCTTCCACAAACATGAGTAATTTTAAATCTGAGATAAATTGTTTTTGTTAATCAAAGGCGTTAAGGAATATTGGCTAAGGTCAGATCTATGGAGTTGGGCCTCAGATCAGCCATGATTTCATTGACTGATGCAACAGGTTGAGCAGCTGAAAGACTAGCTTCTGTACCTATGTTCCTATGTGGTGGCAAGAGATTTGTATAAACACAACAGGATTGGAAGAAGAATCGATGATTGGCAGGAAGAAATAGAGAAGGCTGAACCCCCAGTATTCTGGCAACCACAAATGAAATGGGAGGAGGAAGAGACAGAATGAGGAGAACTGAGGAGGTGTAATGGTGTAGACAAAATTTGGCTCAGTGTCTCAGTCTGTGATGGCCCTAGAATATTGAGAGGTCATGGTAGAAGAATACTGAGTCTGCTAGATCTGGGAATGACTTATGAAGCAGTTCATAGAACATAGAACATAGAACATTACAGCGCAGTACAGGCCCTTCGGCCCTCGATGTTGCGCCGACCTGTGAAACCAATCTGAAGCCCATCTAACCTAAACTATTCCATTATCATCCATATGTTTATCCACTGACCATTTAAATGCCCTTAAAGTGGGCGAGTCTACTATTTTTGCAGGCAGGGCATTCCACACCCTTACTATTCTCTGAGTAAAGAACCTACCTCTGACATCTGTCCTATATCTATCACCCCTCAATTTAAAGCTATGTCCCCTCGTGCTAGCCATCACCATCCGAGGAAAAAGGCTCCCACTGTCCACCCTATCTAATCCTCTGATCATCTTGTATGTCTCTATCAAGTCACCTCTTAACCTTCTTCTCTCTAACGAAAACAGCCTCAAGACCCTCAGCCTTTCCTCATAAGACCTTCCCTCAATACCAGGCAACATCCTGGTAAATCTCCTCTGCACCCTTTCCAATGCTTCCACATCCTTCCTATAATGCGGTGACCAGAACTGTACGCAATACTCCAAGTGCGGCCGCACTAGAGTCTTGTACAGCTGCAACATGACCTCATGGCTCCGAAACTCAATCCCTCTACCAATAAAACCTAACACACTGTATGCCTTCTTAACAACGCTATCAACCTGGGTGGCAACTTTCAGTGATCTATGCACATGGACACCGAGATCTCTCTGCTCATCCACACTACCAAGAATCTTACCATTAGCCCAGTACTCTGTATTCCTGTTACTCCTTCCAAAGTGAATCACCTCACACTTTTCCGCATTAAACTCCATTTGCCACCTCTCAGCCCAGCTCTGCAGCTTATCTATGTCCCTCTGTAACCTGCAGCATCCTTCCGCACTATCCACAACTCCACCGAATTTGGTGTCATCCACAAATTTACTAACCCATCCTTCTACGCCCTCATCCAGGTCATTTATAAAAATGACAAACAGCAGTGGCCCCAAAACAGATCCTTGAGGTTCTGTGTCAAAAAGTGTATAGAATCCTAAGAGCATGGTGTTAAGGCCACTATTCGTCTTGAACTGTATTACTGGCCCAAACTAGTGTATAGGGTGCAATTTTAACATTTGTAAATGATACAAAACTTGGAACTGTGGGAGGATCATAAATTTTACTGGGGATGTAGACATTGTAGCTGAATAGGCAAACAAGTGGCAGATGAAATTTAATGGAACCAATGCATTTTGGTAAAAAGAACAAGGATCATGTGCGCAAGTTGTTGGAGGCGGCTGGACAGGTTACGAAAGTGGTTAGATAAGTGTACAGGATCCTCAGATTTATAGATAGGTACATAGAGAATAAAAGCATGGAAATTATGATAAAACTATATAAAATACTTGGTCAGCCTCAACTAGAGCATTGTGTTTGCATGTTAGGAAGGTCCAGAAATGGTTCATGAGAATGGATCCAGGGCTAAGGAATTTCAGTTATGCGGACAGATTTGAGACACTGGTACTTTAAGCTTGGAGAAGAGTAGATTAAGACGAAGGTCATTATACCTGAAACATTAACTCTGTTTCTCTCTCCATAGATGCTGTTGGAGCTTCTGAAGTTCTCCGACAATTTCTGTTTCATTTCAGATTTCCAGCATTTTGCATTTATGCTATGATTTTGTGATCTGTAATGTGGTGATAGGCCCTGGGACAGTCTTGGAGAGACATTTAATTATAGCACTGGAACCTATTTCAATACCTTTTTTGTACTCAGCAGGAGACTAATCAGAATGGGATTAATTTAGACAATTTCACTCTACTCAATCACCAACTCTGAATTGATTGCAGAGAGACAGATTCTTCTTGGGGCCGAGAAGATCAAGAAGAGTTGGCAAAAATGTTCAAAATCACGAAGGCTTTTGATAAAGTAAATGAGGAGAGAGTCTTTCTGCTGGGAGGAGAGTTGGTTTACAGAAGACATTGATTTAAAGTAATTGGAAAAAGAACGAGATGTGGACTTTATTTTTCTGCATCATGTTGTGATCTGGAATATGCTGCCTGAAAGGGCAGGGTACGAGATTCAGCAGGAACTTTCAATAGAGAACTGGATGACTAAATGAAAGGGAAAATACATAGGACTATAGGCAGAGAGCAGGAGAGACAGACTAATTGGATATTTTTCAAAGAATCAGCACAGGCATGATGGACTGAATGACCTCCTCTTGCTCTGCACCATTCTATATTTTCCAATGGTTGTATGAGGGAGTAAGCTGCAAATGATTGTTTGTGGGCTGACCAGCTTCATTGTCTCCATCCTGAGTTTGTCTCTTTGATGTTTAAAGTTAATGTAAAGAGTGATTTAGTGTA